ATATCGGGGATGCAGAGGCGTTTTTAAGTTTATTTAGAACTAGAATAACAGACTGTGCACAACAAACTATATTTTCCGATATTAATGTATCATCTAAATGCATCAGTTATAAACTCTACAAAAGCGCTTTAAATCCTGAGCGATACCTTTCACTTCCTTTAACCTACAAGCAAAGAAAAATACTTTCAAAATTTCGTTGCTCAAGTCATGAGCTCATGATCGAAAGAGGCCGTTATACAAAAATCGACAGAGATCAAAGGTTTTGGCCTCTATGTCTAAGACTAGGCATTCACACAGTAGAAGACGAAATGCATTTTTTACTTTTATGTCTCTTGTACGACGAATTCAGATTGAAATACATTAGAACTGAATGGACAACCAGCTTTCTAAGTAAATATTTGTTTACAACTTTAATGTCTGACGAGAACGAAGAGAGTATTTTCTCAGCGGCTAGATTTTTAATGAACGCCTTTGCACTAAGAAGAAATATTGTAGATAACAATGTAAACCGTCCAGATATGTAAATAAAATACTTGTATGTGTATGTTGTATTCATAATTTATTTCTGTGTTTGTACAGATTGTAATGCATTGTTGGGCAGAGGCCTTAAACTACAAAGAATAAATCATCATCATCATCACCATCATCACTAGATAAAAGATGTGAACCTTAAAACTAAAGACACCAGGAGGTCTTTTTACTTTCGGGACTCTTCCAAAAAGAAAATTATGGATGAAGCCCCTGCCTTCCCAAGAAAGAAGAAATGACACAAGAAAGCTTAAGTAGAGTGGAAGGGAGGGACGGAGGGCAACTTAAATCACACCGTGGAACTAGGACAATCCACCCCCCTGGACAATCCCCCCCCCCCCGGACAATCCCCCCCCCAAAGAAATATATATTTNCCCTGCCTTCCCAAGAAAGAAGAAATGACACAAGAAAGCTTAAGTAGAGTGGAAGGGAGGGACGGAGGGCAATTTAAATCACACCGTGGAACTAGGACAATCCACCCCCCTGGACAATCACCCCCCCCCCCGGACAATCCCCCCCCCAAAGAAATATATATTTTTATACAAATATAAAACAGAAAGTGTAAAGTTTAAAACATTTCATCCATTTTATTAATACTTTTAGTGTGATAATACAACTTCATCATGAAACAAATTATTTTATAACAAATTCCCTTTTCATTGAGTACAAGTATAGGAGGATTAATTAAATATCTAATTGAAGTATAACCACCTATCCTTCAGGTAAAGGTGGGGTAAAGAGATGAACAGGTATAAACAGATATTTTATGAATATTTTTAGTATGGTGGGTGGTGCACATGGGTAGTAATCAAGCAATTAAAAGTGACAAATAGTCAAAGGGATACCTGGATAAGCGAGAAAATCGGTTTACTCCACCTCTCCCTAGAGATGCACATTGATTCAAGTCTTACTCAATCAATGGGGGAGTAATAAAGCAATTAAAATAACAGTTAATTCATCAAAGAGCTACCTGGATGAGTGAGATCATCTGTTTACTTCTCCTTTTCCTGAAGATATACTTTGATCAGATTTTTAATAAAATGTTCTGTACTTCTATCTCGAACATTTTATGTACTTGTACTTCATGAAAATAATTTTTCACCAATTTTTAAAAAATTATTTTGCTAGTATTTGCAAAGCTTTAACACACAATGTATACATGGTTTTTTAAATATTTTAATCTTATCTATCCTCGTGTTGCATCATCACACTAAGAAATATTTAGAAAATCGATGAAAAGATTTGAACTTTGTACTCTTTACTTTATATTTGTATATAAATATATATTCTTTGGGGAGAATCGTCCAGGGGGGATTGTCCTGGGGGGGTTGTCCAGGGGGGAATTGTCTGGGGAGAATAATCATCAATAATGATCATGAAGCAGACGTTTGAAAAATAAAGTAAACAATTGTGAAGACAAAAGTACAGCTGGCAGTAGTTTACATGATGAATAAATTGATGCTCTTTATGGGCAGAACAAATGCTTTTGAATGATACGAGATTTATTGTCAAGTATAAACTAGAGAAACAAAAATATTCTCAACATATTGTTTATGAAAAATAAGATCACTTTCTAGAAACAGTGCTAGCAGATATTAAAGGAAACCCAACGTTCTGTGTTATCTGGTAAACAATATTTCTAAGCCTGCTTATCCATGTATGTTTGTGCTCGCTATGTGAATATTCTACAGAAAATTAGCAAAAAAAAAAAAAAAAAACTGTAAATCATATTAAGAAGACTATGATAACAGTAGAAAAAAATGTAACATGCATTACAAATTGACGGAAATAACAATATAAAAATTAGCGATACTCACTTTTTGTAGGGAGTTCTGGGAATAAAACGAAATAAGATCACGTACGATAGCAGCTCCTTCAGCTCTGAAGTCTTGGCTCTATCTCTTTAAAATACACAAAATATCTAAAATATTTAAGAAAATGCTGACCACACTAAAGAATGCTGAATACAAATGTAAAGTTCAGAACAGCATGTTGTTAGATGAGTGTAACTCACCGGTTATAGTTCCACCAAGGCAGGAATCAAAACTATTTCGCACAGACAAAAGGAGCTTGCTCAGTTCTTAAGTCTTGGCTCTAATGGCATCCACCTTTGAGTGTACATCGCTGGTGCCGTCTCCTAGGGAAAGGGCTCCAAGGCCATCTGTTGACTGGACAAAATTCCCCAAAAGAGACACACCGGCAGCACTGACATCTTCACGAAGTGAGACACGTAAGCACAGCGTGTTGCTGGCAGCGGCATTTTTATAGTAACGGGGTGGCCTGTCACGTGACCACGTTAACATTGTATAGAGATTTGTGCCCTTATTAGATAAAACAGACGCTAATGACCTCTTGGCAATCTTTCGAGTATAAACTGTCAAAATTGTCAAGTAGCCACGTTAACATTTCACAGAAATTTCTACCCATATAAATTAAGTAAAGCAGGAATCAGTGGCCTTATGATCATGTGACCAATATGGCATTCAGCGCGAGTAGGAAATGCAATCTAGGCTTAAGACTGGGTTCCCATTCCTAGATCGATCTAACAGGATCCGTCCATCTCCACGGGGTTTCTCCCTAAAATTCTTTCAGCTTACGTGGTAGCCTGCTAAAGCTGCTAAACGACAGTTAGGCCCCGTTCACATGACAAGTCTATTTCTAAAAATCTATTTTCTATTCGCAGTATCTTGTGATCACGGTCTGTGCCCTGAATACCCCGCGGCGTAATTACTGGCAGCGCGAGCCAGTTACTTCCAAAGCTGTAATTAATTCTCGGCTGCGCTTGGAGTGATCACAAGATACCGCGAATAGAAAATAGATTTTTAGAAAATAGACTTTCCATGTGAACGGTCCCTTAATTTCCCCCTATCAGCTGGAGTAGGCGTGAATTCTAAGCTGCTTAAGTTATTTGCAATTAAGCGAGACTCCCCTTGGAGTTTCAAAGTAATTACAATAGTCTAAATCGTGCACATATTCCACTGTCATTACAAGCGTTCCTTTGAAAGATGCTACCACTGCGCCTGTGGCATTCGGATAACCCTGCAATATAAAATATCTGGAACGAAAAGAGGGGTTCTATCTTCGATGTGAAATCAAGTTACTGATTTCATTAGTCATATGTTGTAATGAAGCTCAGGTTCTGCAGTTTTGTCGTAGAGCTTCGTCGTTGGTAATGTAATTGTACTTAGTTTAAAGAGACAGAAAACGTTCATAGAATGAATGGAAGCATTGCAAGTACCTGCACAATGATGTCTTTAATTTAGTTACTTTGAAGTTTGTTTATTTCTGATAAAATTTATTCGCTTTATTTAATAATTTACTTATCTAAATATACATTTAAATCAATCGTTGCAGGGGTGGGCACAAAATTAGCGACTATATCATCATTAAGGCATATCTAGTTTCCATTGTGCTGCGACATCATAAAATTGTCGTTACACTCCCTACGAATGGAAGTGATGTAAAGTGGAACGCTGTAAGAGACTCTCCGGGTTTAAAATGACTATCACGAGGTCTGCTGAGGTAAATCATGTTCCATGCCGATACAACTACAGTGTGAAGAATATTAACAGCAACTTGGATCCACGTATGATGTACACGTATGATAAGTCCTTGGTAGCAACCACGAGAACCGGATCCGATTGTTAACTTGAGAACGAGTGATTCAGTGTATGTCGTTATGAGGCTCAAATTCTGTGATCTCATCTAAACAGCTGGTCTAAGAAAATTTAATTGTAGTCGAGTGACTGAAGCATGAGTTTGAAAAGTAAAGAAAACAATTGTGAAGACAAAAGAACGACAGGCGTTATTTTACACGATAAATAAGTTGATGAGCTTTATGGACAGAAAAAATACTTTAGAATGATTAGAGATTTATTGGGTTCTTGTTGTTGTGCTTAGATGTCAGTTTTGACTACTGATTCATATTATCGAGTAGATGGGTTTCCGATTTCTAATTGCCCTCCCTTCCTCCTATTCCACCATGTCAAAGCTTTAAATGTGTCATCTCTTCTTTCTTTGACGGGCAGGTGCTCTTTTCCACTTTTATTCTCGAAAAAGGCCCCGAAAGTAAAAAGACACTTCCTGAGGTATTGAGTAACAAGGTTATCTACTCTGCTTATAAATTAATTTGAAAACTTCATTGAATATATTCTGTCAGCCAATATTCGTTACCACACCACGCTTGTTATTCTGCCAATATGTCCGACCCCACTCTCCGTCTAATCTACGAATTCTAGTTAGAGTTTACGGTAAGTTGCGAGACCTTGCGCTCTCTCGACTGACCCTTATTGTAATTGTCTGCTCACAATATGCCACTCGGTGACACGATGTTGACAATCTTGAAGTATAAATGAGTACTGGATTAAAGTAGCTAGAACGGGCTTATGTACCGGGAAATATATATAAAAGGTAATGCAAGAATTGGTTTTGTGAAACATTTATCAATAAAAGTCAACCATTTCATTCATGCAAGGTGAGATCAGATGATTTATTGTGAACACAAGGAGTCTCGTGTACAAGGTGAGCGTAAGGTATCTGGTTACAATTACATCTGATTTTACAACTTCTTTTTCCTTAAGTAAGCAGATTCTGCACACAGACTGCAAACATATCAAGGTGCTCAATTTTCAATTTCACAGATAGAATGTGCCTTATTGTTGCAGAGCTCGTCATGCCACAGATATTTGCGTTGAGCAAACAGCAGCAGACAGTTCGAGCCTCTGCCTCCGTCCTGATACCAACGATGGAAGAAGTCCCAGCCTAAGTATCCTGAAAGATGAAATTAAACTTGTATACGACAGAGCTCTGTGTTGTAAACACATTGACACACCCTAACTAATAGTGGTACACATCCATCCCAAACTGAATTATGAAATACAACTAGCAGGAATATAACCATCAGATTGTCGTTGCAGACAATTTTCGGGAGGAGGAAGGCTACACAAGATCATACATGTATAGACCAGTGGGTTGAAAATGGTGATCTGCCGAAAATAATGCAACAACAGCAACAATAAAAACACTAATGCATGAAAACTAACTAAATAGTTGGCAATACATTTACAGTAAATATAGGAGTGAATAACAACCATTGAAATCATTGAAAAGCCGTATCTCACCTTGGACCAGAGATCCGTCAGAAACCCATTGCCAAATGCCTTCCATTGCCGTGTCTGTTGCTCCAGCGTGAAACCCCTCAGAACTCGGGAACAGGTCTGCAACAGATAACAACGCACTAGACTTAAGTCGTGTATCGAATAGGCAACCCCAATTTTACAAAAACGAAAAAATGTCAATTTAAGAAAAGAGATAATAGGAAAGATTGTTCATGTCGTAAACGTAGGCCTAATCAATTGAAAACCAAATTAACTGACACCAGTATCTGTACCTTACATGCAACAAACGGATAGTGTTGAACTATTGTCTGTCACCTTTGTGTGTGGCTATGTGCTCCAAGATAAACTTCTGCTCTTCCCAAGACTTAATGGACACTAGGTTTGCCCCCATGGAACGACAGTCATGCTGTGCCTGCTGCCACGTCTTTTTCTCTATCACAAACTTGTAGCACGAGCGTTGGAACTTCACAAAGCCAAATGCGCACTTGATATCTGTTAAAAATTAGAGAGAATGCTCCTAATATATTCACTGAAACATGTATTCAGTGGTCCATACAGTTGCAGGTAAAACATTGTGTCACCTGCGTTGTCTGTAAGAGATGCATGCAAAAAACAAATGTACAATATTAGAAAATTTACACGTGACGTTATAATTGTGATCTGGGGGTTAAAATGAAAAAAATAATAAATTTCTCATTTACCTGAGCACTCACGATCACAGTTTCAACGCCGACAAAACCCTGCCAGCGATTTTTCTTAAAAGTCTTAGTTCAGATTTTATCATTGATAAAGCAAAACAATTTCTTGTTTAATGAAAATATGAAATTAGGTGCTCATAACCCCATAACAAAAGCATTTAAACCAAAACGACGACACGGGATGGTAGCTCAGATACTCCTGCTAAGGCGTGACAAATTGCGTGATAAAATCTTGTTCAAGGATAAAGTTACGCCCCATACCGATTGCTATCTCACCTCAAAATAGAAAGGTGTTAAAGCTTTGAGTTGACTATGCTCATACATTGCAATACGAAATATAAACGCCGATATTTTAGATTTTCGGAGATTTCTTATATTGTTTCCAATCAGCACAAAGATAGATGCATTATTGAATAATTAGATGCAAGAAAAACTTATTTTCGGTATCTGGGCGATAGTACAGAGATAAAGCATCCTTAAATAGCAATATAAGGGCTTATTTGTCAATAATTTGAGAAACAAACTGATACTTCAAAACAAAGGACATGCTTTGCTCCATTTTATTAAAGGTGTTAGTAAAAGATGTATAAAAACAAGTGTTAGCAAAAATGTGGTGGAATACTTAATTATTTTTATTTATGTTTTATTTCATGAAGAAAAGGAAGATGAATGCTTCATCAATTATAGGAATAAATTTTTTTTAAAATGCGCATTAGTTTCAATCAGAGCAGTAAATTTTGCTGTGTTGAACACCAATTATATCAAAAGCTCTACGAAGTCCAATTCACATCGGTTCGAACTTAAAGAGTTTTCAGTTTAAAAAAAGGTTGTCCAGAGAACCACACAAATCGCCAGTTATTTATGAAAAATGAGAACACTTTCTCGAAAACGGTGCTAGCAGATATTAAACGAAGACTAAGGTTCTGTGTTATCTGATATACAGTATTTTTAAGTTTGCTTATCCATATGTTTGTGTTTGCTATGTGAATACTCTACAGAAAATTAGCAAAAAAAAAAAAAAACTGTAAATCATATCAAGACGACTATGACAACAGAAAAAAAATGTAACATGCATTACAAATTGACGGAAATAACATTATAAACATTAGCATAACTCACTTTTTGTAGGGAGTTCAGGGAATAAAACGAAATAAGAGTACGTACGATAGCAAGTCGTTCAGTTCTGAAGTCTTGTCTCTATCTCTTTAAAATACACAAAATCTCTAAAATATTTTTAGAAAATGCTGACAACAGCAAAGGGTGATGAAATACAAATGTAAATTTCTGAATTACATGTTGTTAGATGAGTGTAACTCACCGGTTGTAGTTCCACCAAGATCAAGACTATTTCGCAAAGACAAAAGGAGCTTGTTCAGTTCTGAAGTATTGGCTCTAATGGCATCTACCTTTGAGCGTACATCGTTGGTGCCGTCTCTTAGGGAAAGGACTCCAAGGCTATCTGTTGACTTGACGAAAGTGCCCAATAGAGCTAAAACCGTGATCAAGAGACACATCGGTAGCACAGACATCTTCATAAAGTGAGACACGTCAGCACGGCGTGTTGCTGGCGGCGGCGTTTTTATAGTAGCGATCTACCCTGTCACGTGACAAAGTTAAAAGCTATGCCCTTATTAGGTAAAAGAGACGCTAAAGACCTTTTAGCAACCCGTCGAGTATAAACTGTCAACATTGTCAAATGGCCATGTTAACATTTCACAGAAATGTCTACCCATATAAAGTAAAGCAGGAATCAGTGGCCTTATGATCACGTGACCGATATGACATGCAGCGCGAGTAGAAAATGTAATCTAGGCTTAAGACTGGGTTCTCATCCCTAGATCGATCTAACAGGATCGGTCCATCTCCACGGGGTTTCTCGATAACTTTCTTTCAGCTTACGTGGCCTAGATGTCTGGCAAACCTGCTAAAGCTGCTAAACGACAGTTAATTACCCCTTCAGCTTCAGTAGCCGTCACATCTAAGCTGCTTAAGTTTTTTGCAATTAAGAGAGACTCCCCTTGGAGATCTAAAGTTATTACAATAGTCTCTAAATCGTGCACATATTCCATTGGCATTCCCTTGAAAGATGCGATCACTGTGCCTGTGGCATTCGGATAACCCTGCAATATAAAATATCTGGAGCGAAAAGAGGGCCGGGTTCTATCTTTGATGTGAAATCAAGTTACTGATTTCATTAGTCATATGTTGTCATGAAGCTCGGGTTTTGCAGTCTTGTCGTAGAGCTTCGTCATTGGTAATGTAATTGTACTTAGTTTAAAGAGACAGAAAACGTTCATAGAATGAACGGAAGCATTGCAAGTACCTGCACAATGATGTCTTTGATTTAGTTACTTTGAAGTTTGTTTATTTCTGATAAAATTTATTCGCTTTATTTAATAATTTACTTTTCTAAATATACACTTAAATCAATTGTTGCAGGGGTGGACACAAAATTAGCGACTATATCATCATTAAGGCATATTAAGTTTCCATTGTGCTGCGACATCATAAAATTGTCGTTACACTCCCTACGCTAGTCCACCGTGTTAAGCCCACAGTTGCCTACGAATGGAAGTGATGTAAAGTGGAACGCTGTAGGAGACTCTCCAGGTTTAAAATGATTATCACGAGGTCTGCTGAGGTAAATCATGTTTCATGCCGATACAACTACAGTGTGAAGAATACAGCAACTTGGATCCACGTATGATGTACACGTATGATAAGTCCTTGGTAGCAACCACGAGAACCGGATCCGATTGTTAACTTGAGAACGAGTGATTCAGTGTATGTCGTTATGAGGCTCAAATTCTGTGATCTCATCTAAACAGCTGGTCTAAGAAAATTTAATTGTAGTCGAGTGACTGAAGCATGAGTTTGAAAAGTAAAGAAAACAATTGTGAAGACAAAAGAACGACAGGCGTTATTTTACACGATAAATAAGTTGATGCGCTTTATGGACAGAAAAAATACTTCAGAATGATTAGAGATTTATTGGGTTCTAGTTGTTGTGCTTTGATGTCAGTTTTGACTACTGATTCATATTATCGAGTAGATGGGTTTCCGATTTCTAATTGCCCTCCCTTCCTCCCATTCCACCATGTCTAAACTTTAATGTGTCATCTCTTCTTTCTTTGACGGGCAGGTGCTCTTTTCCACTTTTATTCTCGAAAAAGGCCCCGAAAGTAAAAAGACACTTCCTGAGGTATTTAGTAACAAGGTTATCTACTCTGCTTATAAATTAATTTGAAAACTCCATTGAATATATTCTGTCAGCCAATATTCGTTTCCACACCGCACTTGCTATTCTGCCAATATGTCCGACCCCACTCTCCGTCTAATCTACGAATTCTAGTTAGAGTTTACGGTAAGTTGCGAGACTTTGCGCTCTCTCGGCTGACCCTTATTGTAATTGTCTGCTCACAATATGCCACTCGGTGACACGATGTTGACAATCTTGAAGTATAAATGAGTACTGGATTAAAGTAGCTAGAACGGGCTTATGTGCCGGGAAATATATATAAAAGGTAACGCAAGAATTGGTTTTGTGAAACATATATCAATAAAAATCAACCATTTCATTCATGCAAGGTGAGATCAGATGATTTATTGTGAACACAAAGAGTCTCGTGTACAAGGTGAGCGTAAGGTATCTGGTTACAATTACATCTGATTTTACAACTTCTTTTTCCTTAAGTAAGCAGATTCTGCACACAGACTGCAAACATATCAAGGTTCTCAATTTTCAATTTCACAGATAGAATGTGCCTTATTGTTGCAGAGCTCGTCATGCCACAGATATTTGCGTTGAGCAAACAGCAGCAGACAGTTCGAGCCTCTGCCTCCGTCCTGATACCAACGATGGAAGAAGTCCCAGCCTAAGTATCCTGAAAGATGAAATTAAACTTGTATACGACAGAGCTCTGTGTTGTAAACACACTGACACATCCTAACTAATAGTGCTACACATCCATCCCAAACTGAATTATGAAATACAACTAGTAGGAATATAACCATCAGATTGTCGTTGCAGACAATTTTCGGGAGGAGGAAGGCTAAACAAGATCATACATGTATACAGACCAGTGGGTTGAAAATGGTGATCTGCCAAAAATAATGCAACAACAGCAACAATAAAAACACTAATGCATGAAAACTAACTAAATAGTTGACAATACATTTACAGTAAATATAAGAGTGAATAACAACCATTGAAATCATTGAAAAGCCGTATCTCACCTTGGACCAGAGATCCGTCAGAAACCCATTGCCAAATGCCTTCCATTGCCGTGTCTGTTGCTCCAGCGTGAAACCCCTCAGAACTCGGGAACAGGTCTGCAACAGATAACAACGCACTAGACTTAAGTCGTGTATCGAATATGCAACCCCAATTTTACAAAAACGAAAAAATGTCAATTTAAGAAAAGAGATAATAGGAAAGATTGTTCATGTCGTAAACGTAGGCCTAATCAATTGAAAACCAAATTAACTGACACCAGTATCTGTACCTTACATGCAACAAACGGATAGTGTTGAACTATTGTCTGTCACCTTTGAGTAGTAATAAAAGGACGGGAGCCTTACTAAAAAGGATAGGGCCCTGATAAGGCCCTCTAAATGTTTGTTTTTCTTATTCATTTTTTCTTTATTTTATGAAAAAAAGTTATATTGGCAAAATCAAGTGTGTATACATAAGATTTTATTTATTTATTTATTTATTTATTTATTTATTTATTTATTTATTTTTAAATGGAAATGTTTATATTGGTAAAAAAAAAAAAAAAAAAAAAATGGAAGGTGTGTAAACAAAAGATTTGAAAGGATAGATGATTGTTTTGGTATTTCATTGTATTGGATGAACAAAAAAAAGACCCGCATTTGTTATTATTGATCTAAAAATAAGAGGTGGCATTGTTTGCGGTTCAGTTGAACGAGGCGCATAGTAAATAAACAAGGGTCCGCTCACGCGCAGGTAAGTTTACTTTTATGCACAAAGGGAGGTATGCAAGTCAAATAATTAGAGTATTGCGATAGTGTGTGGTTCGCAAACATAGTAAAGTAGATATAATCTGCCTTTTAGTGTATTTCAATATAATTAAATGACAGAGTGACCAGCATTAAATGAATGGTACTATGAACCGTTTGTATCATAACAAAGCAGTATTGTTTGATGGTCAAGCAACTGTTATAGTGGTCTATACACAAATAAACACCGCATCAAATACTATTTTGATTTCTGTAAAGATTTCCCTTTATTCCTAAATGATTGCCTGGCTTTACACATACGCATAAACAACCAGCTTAACGGTAAAGCTAAACATTTTTTTCTCTTGGTCTTTAAAAGTCTGTGTGTTTTTTCATTTTCAGGTCAAAATTTCATTCGAGTGAACGTGAAATATTGGATTATTTTTTCTTTTGGTCGTTTCATACCAAAGTCTTCACAGTAAAAGGCTGCAGTATGTTTGTCTTGTCCTCAAAACGTTGCATTCTTTTTTCTCTTTAAAGTAAAATGCTGCATTATTTTGTCTATTCGACTTTAATAATTCTTTTTCACAACACCATTGGTTTACCTATTAAAATGAAAATGTGTTTTTCTCTTTCAATTACAACTGTCAGAGATTTCTTCAATTAAAAGCTTAACATNAATTTCATTCGAGTGAACGTGAAATATTGGATTATTTTTTCTTTTGGTCGTTTCATACCAAAGTCTTCACAGTAAAAGGCTGCAGTATGTTTGTCTTGTCCTCAAAACGTTGCATTCTTTTTTCTCTTTAAAGTAAAATGCTGCATTATTTTGTCTATTCGACTTTAATAATTCTTTTTCACAACACCATTGGTTTACCTATTAAAATGAAAATGTGTTTTTCTCTTTCAATTACAACTGTCAGAGCTTTCTTCAATTAAAAGCTTAACATAAAAGTTGTTTTTTCCTGTTTGACTTTGATTAAAGAATTTTTCTCTTTCAAGTAAATCTGTCAGTTATTTTTAGTCAAAGTTGAACACTGCTCTATTTTTTTCTGTCCATCTATGAAAATCAGTGTGTTCATTGTTTAAAGTGTTTTTCTTTTAAGTGTACGGACTCATAAAGACTCGTATATACTCGCGAAAACATGTTGGTAAGAAGAATAAAACGTACATTTAATGGTGCTAAATATACAATAATCTCTACGCACACGGGGCTAATAAATGTGTTACCGATATATAAACCTCACATTTAATGCGTTAACAACAAAGCACTTTTTGAATCAACTTAATACAATAACGAGTGAATTCCTATCAACAACAAAATAGTAGTTTTTGAAATAGTGAAAGTATTAAGGATTCATTGACTGAGATGTAAAAGAAAAGTGGTTTAGCTAGTACCGTAGGAGGATAGTTTGTTGCTTTAACATGTTTTGTTGTGTTTAATACATTAAATTAAATTTAGTATACAGTAGAAGAAAATAAAATCAGTAGCAACAAGCAGGCGTAACAGAAAAATATAACGTTGAAATGTTGGTATTTGATATTTATGAAGGGACTGGAGAATGCAGAGGGCTTTTGTAGAGAATACTGACTCGAATAAGGGGAATGTATTGTAATCTCTTCCTCGCGTAGCAACTATAGTAGGAGACAATACCATCGATATGCGTTTATATGTGCTGCACTATAGCGACACTCTGAATAACGCTGAATGGTCAAAGGAGGTATTGCGTGTATTATTAATTGCTTGAGTCAACAGAACAGGCCTGGACGTGATTTTGATCGCCATATAACTGAAAGCTCATCTGATCGGTCATTTGTTTGTTGAACAACTGATTGCATTGTTTGAGTAAACGGGAACATGACTGGACAAGTAATCTTGAATGCCATATAGCATCTCATCCGACCGGTCATTGGTTTGTTGAACAGCTGTACTCTTTTCTCTTCGTCTTTAAAAGTCTGAGTATTTTTCATTTTTAGATAAACATTCACAGTATTTTTACTGATTAAATGCTAAACATTGGAGTATTTTTTGCTTTTCCTCTTTCAACGTCGAATATTTTTCTCTTTAAAGAAAAAATTCAACATCATTTTGTAGATTCAGAGCTAAATATTGGGTCACTTTTTTTTTCATTTTCTTTAAAAAGATGAGTGTTTCTCTTTATCATGTTAAAATTCCACAACATTTTTTCCGATTTAAAAACTAAACATTTTAGTATTTTTTTCACTTTGTCTTATTTTTTACGATCAAATGTAAAGTCCATTGGTTTTTCCAATCAAATTAAAGTAAAAGTGTTATACATGTACACATTTGCATTTAATTTATTAAGGTGTTTTTATTTTAATGTCTGTGTGATCAGCAATCTTAAAAATAGATTCTACATGTATCCGTTGTGTTGTGTATAATGTTCTATATGTCTAAAGGGGCAGTATGGACACCGTCTTCTAAGACTTTACGTTTACCATAATATAAGAAAAGGTGTCCCGCCTCTGCATATAGGAGTACATCGTGTTATTGAATAACCTGATGCCCCTATTAATACCACTACCGCTCTGTTTGTTTAATAATACAGTTAAATACTTGGTCTTATCGATGTCATTGTTGTTTCTTTTAACACCTTTACAGCTGAACTTGGGTTTTGTTTCTTCTCCGTAACAGTAGTGACGTCACTGGGCAAGACTGGACTTGTTAAAAGTCTTTGAGTTTTCATTACGTAGAGGGCAGCAGTGCACTTACAGGGGTCATGTTATGTAACATGTGTTTATTGTTATGTCTGACATGTTCACATGCTCCTGGACCTGTTTACAGTGTGACGCTTTTTATAGTGAAATGTAGTAAAAGAGCTCAAATTAAAGCGACAACAGGATCAACAGCTCGACAAATAAGTGTACATATGTCGAGAATTTTTTCCGTGACCAAGAAGTTTTAGAGAAAAATGTCCGTCACATTTAACATTTAACGTGTGGCAAACCTATTTATCATCATCATTTAACTTTTGAAAAACAAATTGTACTGGTGTACAAGATTTAATAAATTCTTTATAAATCCTGTGACCAATAAATTAAACCTAGTTGCAGTTTGTAGATGTAGAATTTGTAACTTGGCCCCAGAAAATACATTTGTAATGCAAAGTAGCAGATAATAGCATCGTCACACACTTCGTGCGTCACGATGGTGACACTTTGAATAGCACTGAACGGGCAGTGGTAGTTCTTTGTTGACCAGCTGGTTGCATTACTTGAGTAAACAGAAACATGCCTGGACATGTAAATATAGACACTGTAGTCCAGACCTGAAACAGTGGTTTGTTGATCAGTGGTCTGCATTATTTGAACAAACATGCCTGAGCATGATAGCTATATTTGAATAAACATGCCCAGACGTGTGGATTTTTGAAGCTATATAGCTGGGACAGGGTTTATCTTCACACTATACTACAGCTGCGTTCAGCACAAGGCACTCAGACAGCAGAGGAAGAATTGCTCGATTGATACTCAAGTTCTGATAAAGGTAGGTTCTTTTTATCATAGGAAGGGGTAGAAAATCAATGTATGTTTACTTGTGCCTAAGGTGAATTGCCAAATTTCAATGGTAATGTGTGAAATAATAGTTGATTATAAATTCTAACCTGAACTTATACAGCATTAAAAGAAACTTTAATTAAACTTTAATTAAATTAAGTATAAAAGCTTATACATAAGATTGTTATTAGTTAATACTTTAGAAGGGGACTAAAATTAGAGTTGATCTGATAAACGTTCAAACATAAAACGTTAGAGTTTAAGTTTTGTTTCAACAACAATTATAAGCAAAAAAA